GGCAGGTGCAGCACCACTGAACTACATCCCCTGGTCCTTACAGTTAGTTCTTAAAAAAATGGTATGTATGTATGATTAAAAATTAGCACCCAAGTAATTATTTGCTGCATTTCCTAGCTCAGCAATGAGCCATTTTAACCTTCTGCTTAATTTTCAAATGTGACTAAATATGCTTATACTGGTACTTTTTCCTTTTTGTTTTATTCCCTTACGATGCATAATATTCTGTACCCTACTTGTTACACTTAAAATATGAGACTTTTTCATATTAGCATATATAGATCTGCTTTGTTCTTTGTGTGTGTGTGTGTGTCTTGTACTTGCGAGGCAGGTGTGGTGCCACTGAGCTGAATCCCCAGCCCTGCTTTGTTCTTTTTAACAATTGCATAGTAATCCATTTACAACTGTCCCACATTGTTTCCTACTAATGGGTATTTAGGTTGTTTCCAGACTTTCACTTTTACCAACTTCATGTAATGGATTAACACTGCACATATATCCTTGCATATGTGTGTGAATACATCTGCAGGATAGATCTCTAACGATTAAATTTGGGAATGTACAATATTCATTTTTATAAATATCGACAAATTGCCTTCCAAATGGTCATACTAATTTACTTTTTTTTTAAGTAATAAGACAGATTTTATTCAAGAACTAGTGTAATGGAGGAAAAGAGAACTAAGTATAGAACTAGGTTCTATTCCGAATACAAGGACAGGTGGGAATTTATAGTCAAGCAGAGGAAATACAGAAGAGGGGAAATCAGTGACTTATCAGATTCTTGTTGAAGGAAGATTTTTTTCTACACTTTCATCAACACTAAAAAACCTGTGACTATTTTAGAGATCTAAATGATTAAGAAAAAAAATTTTTTTGAGCCAAGGTCTCATTGTAGTTCAGGTTTATCTTGAACTCTTGGCCATTCCTTAGCTTCAATCATTGTTTTTACTTGCATGTAATTAAAAGATTGAACAAGTTTTCAGGTGTTTATCTGCTATTACTTTCTGTGAATATCTTGATTATTTTATAATAATCTCTTTGTCATATACACTGCAAACAGTTTTCCTAGTTGGTAGTTTATCACACAACTTTAGCGGACATTTCTTTCCTTTTTACCTTAGTCAAATTTATTGATTTTTTTCCTTTATGGCTTTTAAATGTTTTATTTGTAAAGTACTTCAATTTTTAAAATTGCTTTTATTCCCTAGTATATTTATTTGTTTACTTATAAATATTCCAGCCAGAATCCAATTAAGTGGCAAAGATCACTATTACTTCCTGTCCAGAATGACAGCCACAACCCACACCAGCTCATCCTGTCTGAATGTGCAAACATCCAGGCCTATGTGTCCTTTACTCCAGAGACTGCTCTTTCTCTCTCGTCTGTCGTCCCACAGTTATATTCCTTGCAGACAAACTCAAGTCCAACATCCTCCATAGTCTTCCATGCCAATGCATTTTGTAGACTTTTCCTTTTCCAAAGCTCTTATGATCACTTGTTGTCTTGTGTGTGCCTCTCCTTTTCTCTTCAACTTTAACCTATTTGCTGAATGATTGGCATTTAATCTTTAGAAATCTGGGGTTATTTCCCCCCTGCCCCTAAACCAGGGATTGAACTCAGGACCTTGTACTTGCAAGGCAGGCATGGTGCCACTGAGCTAAATTCCCAGCCCCTGGAGTTATTTAATCTACTTTTCTATCCTACACTAGTAGCAGCTAAAAGCATGCTAAGTACATGAAAGAAATTGGACACAGCACTTTTTTTTTTTGGTGGTGGTGGTACCGGGAATTGAACCCATGGCTTTACACTGAGCTACATCACCAGCCCTTTTTATAATTACTTTTATATTTCTTTCTTTTTGGTACTGGGGATCAAATACTTTTACATTTTTGAGACAGAGTCTTCCTGAGTAGCTGGCTTGGAACTCATCATCCTCCTGCCTCGCCTCCCAAATAGCTAGTATTACAAGTGTGTGCCACTGTGCCTGGCCACAATTCTTTCTTAATTTATTTTGAGGGTTCTGGGAATTGAACACCATCACTGAGCTACACCCAAGCTTCTTTTAAAATTCTGAGATAGGGTCTTGCTAAATTGTCCAGGCTGGCTTGGAACTTGGAACTTTCTGCCTCAGCCTTCAGAGTAGCTGGAATTACAGGCATGCACCATGGCACCTGGCTCACAATACTTAATTTGCCATGAAGTTGTATGGACTAGCTATATGTAGCTAATGAACATGGGAAGTGTAGCTGGTCCAATGGAGAGTATCTGAAGACTTAGTATGCAAAAAAAGTATCTAATTTTTGTATTGATTGCATGCTGAAATAGTAGTTTAGATACTAGATTACACAGAATATGTTTTGTATAACCAGGGTCATTCTCTATTTCTTATCCATCAAGAAGGCTCATGCTTGCTGTTGACTCCTATATTAGGCTAATTTGAAGATAAATACGATGATCTTTTCTTTTTTTTTTTTCTTTTGGTTATTTGAAACAGAGACTCACTATGTAGTTGATATTGACCTAGAACTCACTGTGTAGCCCAGGCTGGTCTCGAACTCACAGCGATCCTCCTGCCTCAGCCTCCCAAGTGCTGGGATTACAGGAGTGCGCCACCACGCCCGGCTCGATGATCTTTTCTTTCAGCCAAAGATATTCTCACCATCTCCAAGGGCTCTCATAAACCACTATGTCTTTTTGGTAACAGGTCTTCATCTTTATAAGTACTAATTACACATTTTCTTCTAAACTGCTGCAGACTTGAAATATAATGGTTTCTCCCAACAGGTCAGGTAACTGCTCAGTCAACAGAATTTTACTGGGCCAGGGATTTAGCTCAGTGGTTCCACTGTCTGCTTTGCAAGCACAAGGTCCTGAGTTCGATCCCCGGTACAAAACAAAAAAAAAAGTAAAATAGAATGTTACTAGGGAACAAGCAGCTCCCAAATCTTTTTGTGGTTTAAGTCTCAATTAACCATCCAGACAGAGCCTCTGCATATCCCTTTGGTCACTGGGGACTGTTTTTTTGTTTTGTTTTATTTTGTTGAGACAGGCTCTCAGCATGTAGTCCAGGCTGGCCTCAAACTCCCAGCAGTCCATCTGCCTCAGCCCCCCAAGTGCTGGGATTCCAGGTGTGAACCACCACACCCAGCTTGCTGGGGCCATTTTCTGCCACTAAATTTGGGACCGGTGTCAGTTGGCCTTGAAAGCCAGTCTTGTAGTCAAGAGTCCCTGTATTAGTTTCCTTTTACTGCTATAATAAATACCAGATTTAGTGGTTTAAAACAGCACAAGTTTATTTCCTTACAGTGCTGGAGGCCAGAAATCTAAAATCAAGGCTAGCGGGACTGCAGTTCCTTCTGCTATGTTAGATAACGTTCATAGGTTTCAGGGATAGGTACAAAGACATCTTAGGGGGTCTATTACTCAGCCTACTACAGCCCCAGAGACATTTCCTTGCTTTCTTTGGCAAAGGGTAATAGGGAAGGACACCCAGCAGGGAAACAAAGTTGCAAAGCGTTTCTAAAGTAAAGTCTACAGAGAATGGGTAAAATCATCTCTGTAATCACTGATCACTCTGAGACCATTAAAAACTGGTTTCATCTCCATTAGCTTATATCTCTCCCTCTCAACACTGCTTCCTTTAAAATGCTCTGTAGTGCTAAGCTGAGATCCTTATTACTTTCTCATCCTGAAAAACACATTGTTAGAATAGCAAGATGCATGCTTCCTATGAGTCTTTTTTCTCATAAGCCTTTGGTCTCATAGGCATAAATATCTGCAGCATACTTACAGGGTATCATAAGATAATAGTGCCTTTTATTTAACAAAATATCCTGCAAAATGCCTTCCTGTCTCATCTCATTTGGGCACAGGAAAATAAAGTTATTTGAGTTGTACAGATGAAAAAAACTGTGGCTACACACAGAAACCAGCCACACGGACTGAATAAATTGGGTGGATTTGCAACTGTTCAATGTGAGGAATAGGAAGGGTCAACACAGGTCTTTTAGCTTGAACAATCAATGAATGCTACCAATTGAGATAGTATTAGGTTTGGAAAGAGGATGAGTTTGCTTTTGGGATACACTGAATTTGATATGCCAAAGAACTATTTAGGGGAATTATTTCAAGACAGGAAAAAAATTTATTAGCCTGGAACCATGGACCAGGGCTACCAATATATTTAGGAGCATTAGTATGTAAGTAGTTGTGAAAGGCATGAGAGTAAAAGAACTGACCCCACAAAAAATATGTAGAAGCTTAGGCAGAACCCTAAAAAAAAAAAAACCAAGCATTCAAAGTGTTACCCATTTCTACTCACATCAGAATCATTAGTTAAAAACAGAATCCTCAACCTGAATATAATTAATGCCACAGAACTGTACACTTAAAAATTGTTAGAATAGGGCCGAGGATTTATCTCAGTGGTGCCACTGCCTGCCTTGCAAGTACAAGGGCCCAAGTTTAATACCCAGTACCAAAAAAAAAAAAAAAAAAAAAAAAAAAAAAT